TCATTCATTGAGCTTATATTTTAGACTGTGCTTGATTGGCTTATATATATTATCTTATTTAGCCTTCAAAATAACTTTATGGGGTAGATAAACATTAACTGTATTTTGCAAGTAAGAAAACTGAGGTTAGATGCTTAAGCAACTTATTTATGGTTAACAATACAAGACTCACTCAATGTTTGTCTCCAAAGCCATTAGAATGTAAAAGTTGCATTTTAGCACTGATTTTTTTAAATGTTTCACTCCATGAGGTCTGAAGCAATGCCATCTTCTGAGCTTGAATACTAGTGGTAACATGTATTTTTGATTATTTTATAATTTCATTTTGTATAGTTTTTTCTTTTTTTTGATATCACAAGTCATTCTGAGAATGATAATAGCAGAAGATTTATTTAGCAATTACTCTGTGACAGTCACTGCTATACCCACTGTATTAAACACATTTTAATCCTTGCAACAGCCCTACTAGGGTTATCATCATTTTACACTGAAGAAACAGGCAAAGAGAGTATATTCAGATCCTAAGGTCAAAACAAGCATTTGAACTCAGGAGTCTGCCTCCATCACCTATGCTTTTATCCACAAACTTATGAGTCCTTTTGACAATAGATAAAGGGTAGGTTTTGGGGGGGGGTAACGTCATTATTTTTGGTATTTTTTACTGTTAAAAATCATATTTATTTATGATCTGTGAACCCGTTAACAAACAAACCCATTACAGATAAACCCATTATAGACAAACTTGCCCTCAGTTTTATAAAAGTATCACTTTACAAGCTTAAAGTTGGCAAGATTGCATTTATTTCCACTACATATTAAGTTTTTTTTTATTTTTTATAAAAATTTTAATATGTTTTGGTATATAATAGTTGTACATACATATTTTGGGGATACAAATGATATTTTGATACATGTGTATGATATATGATGAACAAATAGGTAATTGGGATATCTCTGACCTCAAATAGTTATCTTTTCTTTGTGTTTTGAACATTCTAAGTTTTCTCCTTTAGCTATTGTCTGTTTGTTTATTTATTTATTTTTTGGAGACAAATTTTTGTTCTGTTATCCAGGCTAGAGTGCAGTGGCATCATCATAGCTCACTCCAATCTTAAACTACTGGGCTCAAGTAATCCTCCTGCCTCAGCCTCCCAAAGTGCTAGGATTGTATGTTTGAGTCACCATGCAAAGCCTCTTCTAGCTATTTTAAAATATAGAATAAACTATTGTTAACTATAATCTCCCTTCTGTACTATCAAATACTAGAGCCTATTCCTTTTATCTATTTTTGTACCCATTAACTAACTTCTCCCCTTCTCTTCCCTTTCCCAGCATCTGCTAACCATCACTCTATTCTCTACCTCCATGAGATCCACTTTGTCAGTTCCCACATGAGTGAGATCATCAGGGATATGCAAGTCAAAATCACAATGAGATACCATCTCACTCCTATTGAAATGGTTATTGAGACAAAGAGTAATCGATGCTGAGAAAGAGGAATACTCACACACTGTGGGAATGTAAATTAGCACAGCCACTATGGAATACAGTATGGAAGTTTCTCATAAACGTAAAATAGATCTATCATATGACCCAGCAACCCCACTGCTGCGTGTATATCTCAGAAAAGGAATTCATAATACTGAAGAATTATCTTCACTCCCAGGTTTATTGCAGAACTATTCCAATGGCCAAGATACGGAATTAACCTAAGTGTTCATCAACAGTTAAATTGGATCAATAAGTTGTAGCATAAACAATGGAATATTACTCAGCCATAACAAAGACGAAAAGAAAATCTTGTCATTTGCAGGAACATGGATGGGCCTAGAGATTATTATGTTACGTGAAATAGCCAAGATTGCATTGTAATGATAGCTATCAAAAATTTACTCAAAGGATCATTATTTTATTTTTTCCTAGCAATGAAAACTTTTAAAGATTAAACACATAAATTTTTTATTGATATTTACCCTCATTAGCTCTGGAATGGTGCTTGGGGGAGAATAAATTGACACTGTTTAAAAATATTGTCTTTACACATGGTATTTTGGAGGTTTATTGGTACCCCTAAGGGGTTTCTAGGCTGGAAGTATATCTAATAGTTATTTGAAAGGTTTCCTAAGGCTATAAATTTCTGTTTTTTTGTTTCTATGAGTAAAATAGCATCATTGTGGTTAAAGGACTGCCTCTCTTTAGGTACATTCATTCTACAAATTTCACAGAGAAAAAAATAAAGACAAAGTCCACGTTTATCATTGCATTGGCTTATAATTAGTCTCTTTTGCCATTTTAAATAACTTCTATTCATGAGTTGATGGTACATTCCTAGGTACATTCCCATGGAACCATCATTATATCTTTGTGTATAAGCATAGACTCAAGAAAAGCTTGTTTATCCTAAGTTTTTGCTGTTATTTTTAGAAAATTTATAACTCTATTAGTCATCCTTATTTTAAGCCTTTGTGTTAATGTATGTCAACTTTTCCTCTTTTTATTTTCATATAAATTTATTGAGGTTATTATTCTACATACAGACTGTGTGATAACCTAGTTTGGTAAGACAGTGAGGAAACAAGATAAGCCCCTCCAAATGTTTATTTACTTTGATGCAGTAAATCTGTGTGCACAAAGATATTTATTATATATTTATAATGCTTAAAAATGGAAAAAATGGATATACTCAGAATTGGGGATTGGTTAAATATAGTACTTCTATTTGGTAGAATATTTAGCCACTAAATTTTATGTTTTAGAAAAATAATTATTGACCTAGGGAAATGTTCATAATATAATACTTGGTCAAGATGAATAATAGTTTAATATAATTTTAAATGTCTATTAAAATACTAAAAGTAAAAATCAGTAATAGTTATCTTTGTATAATGGACTTTTATGAGTGATTCTCCCCACCTTCTTGATCTTCTGATTTTCTTTTCTGTATAGATATAAAGTATTTTTATAACTGGCATAAGAAGTTAGTCAAATACAAAGTCAGTATTATTCACCAAATTGTTACATGTTTTATTTTTCTTTATCGTGTGACCTACTATACCAGTGGTTCTCAACCTTCCTAATGCTGTGACCCTTTAACACAGTTCCTCATGTTGTGGTGACCCCCGAAACATAACATTATTTTCACTGCTACTTCATAACTGTAATTTTGCTACTGTTATGAATCTTAGTGTAAATATCTGATATGCAGGATGGGCTTAGGTGACCCCTGTGAAAGGGTCATTCGACTCCCAAAGGGGTTGTGACTCACAGGTTGAGGACCACTGAACTATACATCTTTACTAAGAGAAATAGTAGAATGATGATGAAATCAGAAAAAGTTGCATCTGAAGAGTTATAGATTTGTGTGTGTGTATGTATTTAGATAGGATCTCACTGTTACCCAACCTAGAGTTCAGTGACACTATCATAGTTCCCTGTAGCCTTGAACTCCTGGGCTCAAACAATTCTCCTTCCTCAGCCTCCCAAGTAGCTGGGACTATAAGCCTGCACCACTATGCTGGCTAAGTTTTTAATTTTTTGTAGAGACAGGGTCTTGCTCAGGCAGGTCTCAAACTCCTGGCTTCAAGCACTCCTCCCACCTCAGCCTTCCAAAATGCTGGGATTATAGACATAAACCACCAAGCCACGCTTGGCTTTTTTTTTTTTTTATGGTACAAATCTGTCATATGACCTAACCTTTTGTGTTGTGGCACCTGACATCTACCCCATGAGGCAGCAGTGATTATTTATCACCATAATTAGGATTTCAACAGAGATATTCAGTTTCCTCAGGATCTGTTAGGTCTTCGTTCCTAATGGGTTTGCCGTACACCGTATATACTTGGTAACCTATGTCTCCAAGTTCAACCATATTAATTGTGAACGTGAAAACAGCAAATTTCACCACTTCTCAAGGAAGGGAAGTGAGTACTCTGCAGGACTCTCAGCATTTTCCGTTGTCCTGCTCTTTGTGGAAATCACGTTAGATCAACCACGATGACTAGTTAGAAAAACAGTGACACAAAGTTATGCCATCCGCATTTTCCCCATTTTTCTTCATATAACACTAAAACTGTTGTGAGAGCTATTTGTCAAAAACAGTCTGTACCAGCTTTAGCCCAATATAAATAAGGTGTGAAAATAAACAATCAATCATACACACATACTAAATGACATGCAAGGCTCAGAAAGAATGATTTTTTGAAGTAGATTTGAATATTTTCATGAAATTGGAGCAGGAATATAAGTAAACATTACACTGAAATTTCAGACAAAATTTTTAGTGAAAAGAGGAAGTACATGAGAATCAGAGGTACTTGTTCCACTACTAAAATACTCTTCAAAAACTAGTTCATACTTTTACAAAAAAATGAAGTCTGTAAGTATATATTTATAAGATGACTCACACTGGGAGGCCATCTTTTGGAAGCTCTATATTTTGTCTCTTTTGTTCAGTATATTCTATGTAATTGATTGTGCTCCATAAATACATCAAGGTCTTGTTTTCCATTTAATATTCTGTTATGATGCACACTTTCCTTTGCCATTAACATCTTTTATTCATAATACTCAGTGGTTACATGGTGTTACACTTTTGGAGTACCATAACTTAATTTTTCTCTTATTTCTATTTTTCTCTTCTAAATAATGTGACATCGAACATCTTTGAGCATAAATCTGAATCTGCCCTATTACAATCAGAAGATTCTCTAAACATAAAATAAGATTGAATATTGTTAAGAATCTGAAAAATTTTGCCAACTTGTTTAGAAAAGTTCAACTCATGGGCAGCACCTGTGGCTCAAAGGAGTAGGGCACCAGCCCCATATGCCAGAGGTGGTGGGTTCAAACCCAGCCCTGGCCAAAAACTGCAAAAAAAAAAAGAAAGAAAAAGAAAAGTTGAACTCACTTAGACTTTTGAAAACAATAGCATACGAAACGAAATGAGTTGCTTGTATTTTCAGAGGTATTCTCTGAAGTTATTTTTTATTTTATTGTTTTTTCTCAGTTCAGAAAATACTTTTCAGTCACAGTTATCAGACTGGGGTGGTATTCAACTCAGCACTGGTAAAGTGAGTTATTTTTTAATATAAGAAAAGGTAAATTCCTTGTTAAAAATAATTTTTGATATTCTTGTGATTCTTACACAATTTTCTGAAGTATTGACTGTTCCTCAACCTAACAAATATAGACAAAAGTATTAAAATGAATGCTATTTTAATTACTGAAGATAGCTTATTTTTGAAAAAAATATAATTATAAGACAGTGATTTATATAGAGGAAAACTCAGAAATAGGAATCTTGAATTCTGACTTGGGTTCTGCTAGTACCTGACCTTGAGCATGTCACTTAACTTCTCAAAATTTTAGTTACTTTGTAAAATGAGAACATTGGTTCACATGGTCCCTGAGAAATGAAATGTGAGTGCTAAACCTGTAGCAATTATTATAAAGTTCTTACTCTTTTAAAAATGCAATCCCTTATTATTTGGGATGTTCTAATGTTCCACAAATCACTAAATAGATACAATTGCCCTCAGTTTGTGCTTTTTACCCTGCTTTAGTCTGAAAGTTTTTATTTCCTCAAATGTCACATATTGCAAACCTATCATGAAGATAAGTAGGTGGGACATTTGGAAGGTGATTTGATCAAAGGGCAGAGATCTCATGAATAGAATTATAGCCATTATAAAAAAATGTCCCCACAAGTTGCCTTGCCCTTTTCCTCTGTCATATGAGACGATAGCAAGAAAATAACCCTCACTAGACACTGAATCTGCGGGCACATGGAACTTGGAACTTGGACTTCTTATCCTCCAGAGGTGTGAGAAATAAATTCCTGCTGTTTATTAGCTATCCAGTCTGTAGCATTTATTATAGCAGCACAAGTGGACTCAGACACTTCCTGTTGTCTCCCTTTTCATTCAGTCCAAGCATGTTCTTCTCCTAGGTTCCATCTCTTGTATCATCTATTTGTTAGACAGATAAGTTAGGGGATGTGTAGAGACATTCTGCCTTCCTCTTATGACCAAACCTTAATAACACTGGCATGAGTAGAACATCATATGAATAAATAATTTTTTTACAGAGCAATAGTTATTTGAAAAAATAAGATCTTACAGTATTAATTGGTTAAGTGGGTCAAGCTGTAGATTATAAAAAAATAATTATTTGGTTTAAATAGAGTTTATCAACTAGTTAATAGAGACTTTAAAAGCCTCTTTGCACTCTTGCTTTGGTGTTTTTATTGCAAAAATCAATCATTAATAAATGTGTTTGCAGGAAAATACTGGGGGAAAATAGATTATATATACTAATTAATAACATCCAGAGAATGATGAAAATAAAGTTTGTATCTCATGCTTTGACAAAATATCTGAATGGAAAATTCAGTTTTCTTATATCCCATTTATTTATTCATTTAATAACTTTGTTTAAAATATGTACATATGAGAGAATACTGAAAGAATGTAAACCAAATATTCTTTCTCAAGATTTTCTAGGCAGTTTATAAAAAGTAAACATATGCACAAGAAGTGGACAAATAACAAAAACTAGAGAATTTGATGAAAGTGCTTTGCTTATAAAACGGGATCTGAAATAGTATAAGAGATCAGGAGGGGACGCTGACATTTCCCTTTCCTTCATTCTCATGTGCAATCCTGAAACTCTATCCCTTTTCACTAAGATGTACGTCTGGAACTCACTCATTTCTTTCCATTCCTACCGCAACCTCTTTGGTTCAGGCCATCATCATCCTCCAACCCAAATTATGCGACGTCCTCCTAACTGGTCTCTCCCTCCAGGTTTGCTGTACTCAGTTGCAGCCCACAGTGTAACTAGGTTAACCTAAAACACCAAATCTGGTTATGTTGTGGCCTCTCATTCTGCTAAGGGTAAAGCTCAAGCTCTTAAATGTGTCCCGAGGCTTACGCTAGTGGAGCCTTGCCTCTGCCTCTCTCCCTTGTGTTCTGACACTTTTCCGGTTTCACCAGGCTGCATTTACCATTCCAGGAATGTGACCTGTGCAGGATCTTCCCAGTTTTAACGGTACTTTTCTACAGAGATACCGTCTGATCCCTAGATTAGGGTAGGATGCCCTGTTGTTGCTCTCTATCTTCTTTTTAATTTTTCAATCATAATAAAACATACTTGTTTATTTACTTTCTGTGATGGCAAGTTTTGTGATGTTATAGTGTCATGAGCGCCTATGCAATACCTGACACATAGAAGATGCTCGATATTGTCTACACAAAAGAATGAATACAGAAATAGAGATGGTGTAGTTAGGAAGGCCTCACTGAGAAGATGAGTACCTATTTTGATGACAGTAAAAGGACAAATACTACATAGACAAATCATGTTTGTCTATATGTGATTTTTCATCCAGGGGTGTCATTGTATGCATACAGCCAAAATACCGAGTCCTGTGTCTAAACCTGTGTCTATAATTTCTAAAAAGGGATTGTGTGGATCAGCATACATAATTTCTTAAGATTCGTTGTGACTAGTGTCCAAGATAATACATATTACACTCATCAAATAGTGTGAGTGGGAGAAGGGAAATTATATTGATCCATTGTTAGTTTACATTTATCTAAAACATTTTCTGTATGACACTTTGGCTAGTATTGAAATCAAGTAGTTTATTTCATTAGCATATAAAGTGATAATAGTATCATTAATTTAGACTGCACATAACGTGAAGGCTATTTAAGGGCAATGTTGTATTTGATGTCCTAACTTTGAATTTATTTGACTATATTGACTATAGTCATAGTCTTTTTTTTGGTTTTGTTTTCTTACTTCTAAAATACAAGGTTTGTTGCATGATAAAGAGAATCATCTACAATTATAATTGTACAGAATATTGATTCTCTATCATCAGTCTACTAATCAATCTTAAAATTTCCTGATTCTGTTATTTTGTGATAAAAGAAAGCACTGCTATAAACTTAATGAATAAGACACAATGGGGTGGCATGTGTAGCTTGGGGGGTAGGGTGCCCACCACATATACCCACACTGGCGGGTTTGAACCCGGCCCAGGCCAGCTAAACAATAATGACAATTGCAACAAAAAAATAGCCAGGTGTTGCAGCAGGTGCCTGTAGTACCAGCTACCTGGGAGGGAAGAGAATTACTTAAGTCCAAGAGTCAGAGGTTGCTGTGAGCTGTGACACCACAGCATTCTACTAGGGCAACATAGTAAGACTCTGTCTCAAAAAAAAAAAAAAAAAAAAAAAGAAAGAAAAAGAAAAAAGAGACACAATGAAAATTCATAATAAAAATGCCAGTAACTTACATAGATTCTACTCCTAGATTAAACATGCAGTCTTAGAATTTGATAATACCATGTTTTCTTTTGCATGTTAAAGTCTCTAGCAGAATATATTGAATAAAAATAAAAAGATATGTCTAAAGAATCTTAAATACAAATGAAGTTCCTGAAAATTCAAAAATAAATATGCATTCACCCATCTATTTACTATAATATGCAATTATCAAAGACTGACAGAATAAAAAACATTTCACTTTTGGCACTCATGATGGGTTGGATAAGTGATGACACACGTGGTATAGAGGGAAGATTCCTTTAAGAGAGCACAATTTTACTTGTTAAATCATGAAGTTTAAACCTTAGTCATGTATGGAAAAAGCTGTCTAGTAATTAAGAATCGACATTTTAACATATTTTCAACAGACACGTTGGACGCTTTAATTCAATAGAGCATTGCTTATTTTTAAAGAGCTGAAAAAATCAAAGCTTCCTTAGCAAGGGAAATCTGTATAGTAGCAGAAATGGAAAACCTGAAGGATGTGGCTCCTTCTGTGTTTGGATGATGCAGAATTGCTCTAAGCAGTAAGCTTACTGTTTTCAGACAGCATCAGCAGCATCAGCAAATACAACTGTGTCAGTCTCTCTTAGTACTGAGTGTTTGTAACTGCACAGGGAGAGGATAAACAGTATATGAGATCTGATACTTTGATGATGCCTTAAACAGATCCTGATGGACAAGTCTGCTGTTTGATATTTTCTTCACTAACCCTGGAGATGCTGAGAGAGAGAGATGGCTGTGATTACCTTTTGTAAGACAGGAAATGCAATCTTTAGGGATTTCTGGAAATAGAAAGGTCATGCAGTCTGGAACGTGTGAGACTTTTCAATCTCTGAGTCATCAGGTATGACCTCATGAATTATGATGATACTATTAGAATGTGGGGTTATTGTCTTTTCTAGTTGTTACTCGTTTAGAATATATTCATTCCTGCAATTGCTTATCGTCAGATTTTCCTTAGAATATTTGAACAAGTAATATTTATAGTAATGGGCAATAGCTAAACAATATGAATTTTAGAAGTGTGTGTGCATATGTGTGTTTTTGTGTTTACTTTGCCTTTTTGGGAAGTGAGGTTAAAGGAAGAGATTTTTTGGATAAGAATAAAAGCAAGGTTTGGGGCTCTTCAGATTTTTCCAGATTCAGTCTGAATAGAGTCAATCTGCATCTTTTACTTCAAGTAAAAAAAATAGCATAAATTGATGAAACTGATAAGGATACATCATAACAAGCTTCTTACAAATAGTGATATATTACAAATATTTTTATTTTCTGGAATTTCTTAAGCATATGAATCAATGCTACTACCATTATAGTGTGTCACACAACAATAAAAGTTTTATGAGTAGATTCATGTTTATCAACCTCTGGGCTGTAAGCTAATTTCCTGAGATTTATATTGCAATATCTGAACTGTTTCAGAAGGCATCGGTTTAAATCATTTCTCACATCTATCGACACTGCTCTTCTTAGGGCTTTTGAAATGTAGATATCTGCTGAAGCATTGCTCCTAGATGAAAGCAGACTATATAAATCTGCTTTTCACAAAGAAAGCTTGTAGCATTTAAGGATGTTGAAGGTTTCTTGAACAGAGAGCTTTGACATTTGCTTACTTTCATTTTCAAACCGAAAAGACTTGACTATGTTAAGCCTGTTAACTACTAAAGAGTAGAGAATCGTCACAGCAGGGGATTTGAATTTATATATCTATTTTGTCCTGAAACTCTGGTATT